ATTGCGAAAACAGTCCATCAGCAATGTCTGACCTGTCAGGTCCATAATCTTGGAAAAACTAGCTTCGTCTCCAGAGGCCTCAGGACCTCCCCCTGGACCTTTGAACACCCGTAGCTGGACTTCATTCCATTGCCACCTAATATGTGATGACGGAACAGAAGGCAAGCTGAGGACAAAGCAGAAGCTGACACCCCACAACCCCCCCGCATGATATATGTGACATTCCTCAGGCTAAGGAAAGGAAAAACAAATAGTTAACTTACAGAGATCACAATCCTGCAAGACATGAGTCTCCCTCTGTTTACAAATGTCTTAGCAATCTACAAGAACAAAGCATTTCTATCAATAACCTAGCTTCCAGAAGGAAATGTAGATACAACTAAATGCCCTTATAACCTGCAGCCCATTGACAGATACTTGAAGCGGGCAGAGTGTAATGTTCCTCCAGGAAGCTCCCAACTATCTTCATGTCAGTGTCTTGCTAGGAAGAAAAACAACCTTAACTTGACAATGGCCAGGCCTCCGGTATCCTGGGAGTCTTCTTTATCACATGAAAATCCTTCTGAAAACTTCCCCTTTCCTTACCTCCCCCCAACTCACAAGTATATAATCAGCCACCCCTCACAACTCTGGGGCAGCAGCTCTTTCTGCCCACGGGTCCTGTCCCCGGGCTTTAATAAAACCACCTTTTTACACCAAAGACGTCTCAAGAATTCTTTCTTGGCTGTTGCCTCCAGACCTCACCTATATTCCCAAACCCCATCCATATGGGTTGTCAATATGTTCCTGTTATTGTGTGTGTGTTTTCTGGATGAGGTGAAGCTTTTCGCTGTCACAAGGCCAATGCCCTCACAGTGGCACAGGAACTTAGAGAATGTGTTTCCCACTTGGGGCATACCTTGCACAGTCTCCAATGATCGAGGCTTTCGCTTCACAGGGCAAATCATATATAAGCCTTAAGGAAAACGTTGCAAACTTCTTAAAACTGATGCTGTCCCTAGAAGCCTTCCCCATGCACGTCCCAGCACCTCCTCTGGCTCCTTGGTGGCTGCTCAGAAAGCCAGCTCCCTAGTTCCCACAGCCTATGATATGATGTCACATCCAAATGCACAAGAGAAGAGGTGGTCCACCACAAGGGAGTTGTCAACCAAGAGAGGAGGAAAGAAGCCGTGGAGGGTATCTGGGAAAGCTAAAGTCTATACCCCAGGGCACACATCAACTTTGGGGAGTGAATAAACAGAACAAACGGTGAATAAAGGTGATCAGAGCCAAATGCTGAGCCTATTTGTAAGCGCCTATTTGGAGAATTTGAGTGAAATTTTACTTCCGAAGGTTTAGAGAAAGGAGCTCTGGAGGAAGATCAGAGTTTAAAATCAAGCCCTGCCCCTTCCCAGCTGAGTCCATGAGCACCATCTATTTCTCTGTCTGCAAATCCAGGAGCACCTCTTTCCATCTCCGGGAAATTATTATTTATTATTTTATTTAATTTATTAATTTAATAACATACTTAGGGGCGCCTGGCTGGCTCAGTCGGTGGAGCGTGTGACTCTCCATCTCAGGGTTGAGTTCCAGCCCCTCACTGGGTATAGAGATTACTTTAAAAAAAGTAACATCAGGGGCACCTGGGTGGCTCTGTCGTTAAGCGTCTGACTTCGGCTGGGGTCATGGTCCCAGGGTCTTGGGATCAAGCCCTGCATCCTGCTCCCTGCTCGGCGGGAAGCCTGCTTCTCTCTTTCCCACTCTCCCTGCTTGTGCTCCCTCTCTTGCTGTGTCTCTGTCAAATAAATAAATAAAATCTTTAAAAAATAAAATAAACACTAGTAACATTGAACTTTAAAAAAAAATTTTAAAAAGTAAGATCTTTAAAAATAATAATAACAACATCCCTAGCACACACTAATGATAAGTCCGTAGAAGATTTCTTCCTTTTCCTTCTTACTTTATCTAACATTGTTCATCTGTCGTAGTTATATGATATTCAGCAGAGGAGTTTTAAGACCTGAATAACTCTCCACGACCTCTTTAAAATCTCACAGACGTGTACATTTCAGGTAAAAAGAAAGATAGGATGACTAGAAAGGAGTTCTTAGCTGCGAGGTAGGAATTTTAATGAAGTTTAATTTTAGAACAACTTTCAGAACATAGAAGCTTCATCATCAACAAATATTTGTGAAGCCTCTATGTGTCAGGCAGATTCCTAGGCTATGTTGTGGTGAATTTATGCCTTTGCAGGGTGGGGGGGACTTTCAGAATCTGATGTTGCAAGCAGAGCGTCATTTAGATAACCGTGAACTGTTAAAGCAAATCCGCTGGTCTCTTTGTGGCTCGGGAAGTGGGCCTGGGGACGCTGCCGGCAGGGTGTCACATGGTAAGTGCTGGAACCCCGGTGGTGACTCCAGTTGCCTTGAGCGATTTGCTCTGGTTTCAGTCCTGCCTTGCTTTAGCACATGCTGTTCCTACCAACTGAATTTCACTTCCTCATCCTTTAAAAAAAAAAAAAAGCTTCTCCTCTAAACAGCCTGGCCTTCCCTTCCTCCACCATCACCCCAGCAGAGTTCAGACACCTGCCCTCCAGCCTGCTCCATCACAGCCCCCAGCCCACCCTGTAGTAATAGTTGATTTCTCATCTATATTTCTACACCAGAGAAGGCTCCTTGTGCATAGAATCATGCTTACTCATCTGGCTAAGCCTAACGCAGTGCTGGGCACAGAGCTGTTTGCCCAAAGGAGGAAAAAAAAGGAGCAAAAGAGGAAGGAAACCGACTACATTAATACATAAATACTTGACATATACATAAATATAGAAATATGTGACTATAGAAATATGGATGTCACTGGGTCAATATATAAAAGCATAGGTATTATACACACCTATATAGTATAGAGAACATGAATTTTGATAAAGTAATTTTGCAAAACTGTTTTGGTTTTAATTTTATAGTTTCAGGGGCATCTGGGTGGCTCAGTCGTTAAGCATCTGCCTTCAGCTCAGGTCATGATCCCAGGGTCCTGGAATCGAGCCCCGCATCGGGCTCCCTGCTCCGCGGAAAGCCTGCTTCTCCCTCTCCCACTCCCCCTGCTTGTGTTCTCCCTCTCTTGCTGTGTCTCTCTCTGTCAAATAAATAAATAAAATCTTTAAAAAAAAATTTTATAGTTTCAGCATCTCAAGTCAATGGACAAAAAATCCTAATTTTTTGTTCTTGGTGACAAAACTGAAGCAGAGAGATGGAAAATTATTTCATTCAATTGACTTACTAGTCACAGCTTATAAATGGACAGAAACCCCATTCAAACAGAATCCAGGGAATTTATTGGTTCTGGTATTTGGAAGTCCAGGAAGTATATTAGCTTTGGGAATAGCTGGATCTGGGGGCTCTTCCTACTTCTCAGCTCTGTTTTCCTCCAGGTTGGCTTTATTCAGATTCAGATTTACATCTTGATACTTCTAGAAACTTCATTGGACAAAAAAACAGTGTTCCAGCAGCAGCAACAGAAGTCTCAGAACTGAGTCCCATTGGTATGTCTTGGGTCATGTGCCCATCTCTGAACCAATCCCTGTAGTCGGGGGTCGGGGGGGTTAGCCAACCAGGCCTGGGCCAAGGCTCACTCCTAGAGTTTGGGGCAGTGTCAGAGCCCCCTGAACACCATGGGAAAGAGCGGGAGAGGTGCATCTCTCCAAAAGGATACTGAGGTGCTGTCATCAGAAGAGGGGATGGTTACTGGATAGCAGAACAGTACGCAATCAAAGTGATAACAGGACTGAGGGTGGAGTTGATTGATGGCTTTCTATGGGATAGAACTTTCAAAGTGCTTGAGGTGGTGGAGGTGGAGAGACCAGGGTTAGTTCCCTGAGCTTGGGCAGCAGCACTGGGAATAGAAGTAACAGAGGGAGTGGAAAGCTAATCAGGAGGGAGCCTGGGAGAGATGGGGTAATGATCAGGCTCTGCTGGGTAAGGGGACAGAACACAGAGAGAAGTGAGCCAGAGAGCCAAGTGACATGTGGACTGGACATGTGGCAGGAAGACCAGTGTCCCCATAGTGCCTCTCGTGCATGGGTTCTACCCTAGACGCCAACCCATTTCCACTTAACCTCATTAAAACCAGGCAATCTCATTTCCTAGTTTAGGGAAACTTCCTTTTCTCTTTGTTCATTCCAAAGGAACATGGTCTGTGGAATGTAGCTACCAACAAACAAGTCAATTCTATTATCACTATCACTATTAATCTCCTGATTGAATAGAAAGAACTTTGGGTTTGCAGGCTAACAGATCTTGTCAGATTCTGCTCTCCCACATGGCAGCGATGTGAACTTGACCAAGTCACTTCCCTCTTGGAGCCTCAGTTTTCCATGCTGTAAAATGGGGGTGAACCAGGAGTTCACAAAACTCACAGTTTTCCAAAGCGTATCAGCCACTAGCCAAGACCCAGAATACAGCAAGTGCTCAACTCCCTTAGCTGCTACTACTGTGCTTCATGGGGCTGTAAAGTTGTATCGGTCTAAAAAGTTCCGGTAATGAGTTCTTCATCACAAGATTGTAACTAAAGCCAGCAGGACAGGTCCCAGATGTGTCTACAGCATTGGAATTTTTCATTACAGAGCAAATGTTTCCACTTTCTGAAAATCAACATTAAGCCAGGGATTTCTTTCTTTCTTTTTTCTTTCTTTCTTTCTTTCTCTTTCTTTCTCTCTCTTTCTTTCTTTCTTTTTCTTTATTCCAGTGCCACTCAGGATTCCCAGAGGGTAGCAGTACTTAGATAATTCATTTTTAATCATCTCAGCCACACGAGAAAAGGTTACTTTTTTTATTAAGATTTTATTTATTAGAGAGAGAGAGCACACAAGCAGGGGGAGTGGCACGCAGAGGGAGAAGGAGAAGCAGGCTCCCCCCTGAGCAGGGAGCCTGACGTGGGACTGGATCCCAAGACCCTGGAATCAGGACCTGAGCCAAAGGCAGACGCTTAATCGACTGAGCCACCCAAGCTCCCTGAAAAGGTTACATTTTTTTTTAAGCGACTGTGCCACCCAGGTGCCCCTGGATGAGTCTTTTAATAGAAAAACACATGTGAGACAGTAGCAACACAGTGTCTTGGCAATCCAGATGGTGCGGGGCTTCAGTTCTTTACCACCTTGGGAGGTGGCCTGTACACCACCCACCACCACTGCGTGGTCTCTTTCATACGGCTCTAAGGTCAACTGCTCCTGGGCTTCATGTTCTCCTGCTGCATCTTCTTCACTTCACAGGGAAACACAGCCTCGGCTGAGGCCATGGAGTTAATGCAGTTGGCCTTAACAGAAATCACAAAGTGTCCTCCGTTACAAAGGAAAGTGTGGGCATTCAGGGCTACGATCCGGGTCTGGTCTGGCTGGGCCACGTTGGCAAAGATCACATCCACCATTTCGATGAGCATGAGGTATTTGTGTGGGTGCCGAGCATCTTCAATAACAGGAATAATGTTGGTCCTCTTCTTGGCCAAGTTAAAGAGGTCACGGCCAGAGCGGTGGGAGAACTCAACTGCATAGACTAGACCGTCCGGGCCTATGATGTCAGAGACGTGGGAGACAGTGGTGCCTGATGCAGCCCCAAGGTAGAGCACCTTGGCCCCCGGCTTGATATGGATCTGGTCTACGCCACCCAGGATTGATGCTGCCAGCTTGGAGCGGAAGGGGTTCCAGGCACGGTACTTGATTTTGTCGTCTTCCTCCACAATTGAGACTCTCTTCTCTCCATAAACTGATTCTCCAGGGACCAGATTCTTGGTGACAAGTGCATCTTCCTTTCCTCGACAAATGAAGACACCTTCATGCTGATGAGGTTCCACCACCACATTCTTCCCCGACTGGTTTCCTCTTTTCCCTCCCTGACCACGACCCCGGTTGCCACCAGACTGGAAACCTCCACCACCTCGACCTCCTCCTCCTCGGCCTCCGCCCCTAAACCCGCCACCACGACCTCTGCCCCTGCCAAAGTCTCCTCAGCCTCCACCACGATCACCACGGTCACCAAAGCCCCTTCGGCCACCGAAGCCACCCCCACGGGGGCCAAAACCTGGCTTCATGGCGGGAGCTCAGCTCCCCGGCTCAGGACTCTGTGGTGTCCCAGACTACACAAGTCCGGTGCTTTCACACATGGACGAAAAGGTTACATCTTAATCAAAATATGGCATGGCAGAAATGAGTGCAGGAGTGGGAAGGGAAGGGAGCTTGGCTAGATTTGAACTTGAGCTGTGGCCTGCACTTTTGTAGGAAAGTCAATGACTTGCTGGTTTTCCCACCCTGTGGGCCCACCCTCTACCAAATAAGCTTGCCTTGCATTCATTAATTTACCCACTCAGTTATTCATCCCCCAACACTCACTGACTATACTATTCATTAGGCTGGGGGCCAGGCTCCAGGAGACCAGAACTTTGCCCTGGGTAGCTCAAGATCTATAGCAGGAGTCCACGAACTGTTTTGATAAAGGGCCAGATAGTAAATATTTTAGACTTTGCAGGACACATGGTTTCTGTCACAACGACTCATCCCAGCCATTATAACACAAAAGTAGCCAGGGACAATAGGTAAATAAATGGTGGGGATGTGTTCCAATAATACTTTATAAGTGGCCCTAGCTTGTGCTTTGGTTATTCTATCAGTTACTGACAGAGAGGTGCTCAAGTTTCCCTCCTCATTCAAAGCAGTAGGCAGTGGAAATTGTTCACTTAAAACAAGAAATCCAAACTTGTACAAATATATCTTAGGCATTTTATTTTACTTTACAGCATATTGAAATAAGAAATCATCTTGAGCTAAATGCTAATGAAAATATTACTTTGTTATGAGCCACATATTACTTGGTTGTGAGTCACAGCCAAGACTGCTCAGAAGGAAATATATACCTTTAAATGCTTATATTTAAACAGAAGAAAGTTTGAAAAACAATCATCTAAGAATCCATCACAAGAAGTTAGAAAAAGAAGAGCAAATCAAACCCAAATGAAGTAGAAGAAAGGAAATGATAAAGAACAGAGTTGAATTCAATAAAATGGAGACAAATTAAATCTCACTGAAGGGCATCTTTTGTGCAGTCAACCCTCAGTGAATGAGCAGCCTTCCCTTCCACTTCCATTGGAAAGCTGCCAGGGTTCCCCATTCAGCACCATGCTGGCGTGGGGGCTGAGTTAAATATATTTTATCATGTTAAGGAAGAATCGATTGATTCCTATTTTATTATGAAGCACTGACTTGTGGCAAATGCCTTTCAGCTGTCATAGAGGTGACTGATGTGGGAAACGAAAGCAAAAGAAAAAATTAAATGTCCTTACTGCCTACAGCCCTTCGAAAAGTCCTTGAAACAGCTACAGTGACCTTCCTCTGGGTGCCCAGCTGCCTCCATGTTGACACTTTGCTAAGGGCAAAAGGCAATCTTAGCTTAACGTTATCCCGATCCCCCAGGATCCTGTAAGTCTACGTTAACATATGAAAATTCCTTTGGAAACTTCCTTTATCTCTACCCCACAAGATACATGTTAGCAATCATCCTCCAAGCATATGGCCCACCATATACATCTGCAGGGTCTCATGACTTAGATTTTATTAGACAGTAATAAATGACCTTTTCCTTATAGTAGCTAACCCCCTTGAGGCCCTGAAAACCTTGCTCCAAATTCCTCAGAGACTTATGCTATCCCGAACCCCCTCCCAACTTGAAAGTATATAATGAGTCACCTGTCACAACCCCAGGGTCGCTCTTTCTGAGCATGGGTCCTGTCCCCGTGCTTTAATAAAACCACCTTTTTGCACTGAAGATGTCGCAAAGGGTCCTTTCTTGGCCATCAGCTCTGAACCCCAACATTTCTACATCAGTGATCACATGATTTTTCTCTTTAAATCATTAATTTAATCAATTTCTGAGATAAAATCACCCTTGAATTCCTGAAATGAACCCTCCTTGGTCCTATCATATTGTTTATGTTTTCTTTCACTTGTGAGAGTTTTTTTTTTTTTAAGTCTTTCACTTTTAACTGGATGCTGCAGAATGGTTTCTAATACTTTATTTAGAATTTCGTATTAGTGTTCACGTGTGCCATTAATCTACACTTTTCTTTTTGTCTCAATTTTTACTAGACTTACTGATGTTATTGTCACTGTGTAAAAAAAAATAGAAAATAGGATGCTTTTTATTTGGTCTAGATTAGTAGGAGTAAAACAGAATAATCCATTATTTATGTAGCATTTTGTTTTATGTAGCATTTTGTTTTAAAGAATTACAGATTTATAGAAAGGTTGTAAAAAAAACAAATGTATGAATTTACCATGTACCCAGGTTCCCTAAATGTATATATCAGTTTTTCTGAATCTTTTGAGAGTAAATTATAGATACATCCCCATAGCCCTAGATACTTTGGTGTGTGTTTTCTAAACACAAGGACATACCCTTATGATAATCAGGGTACAATTGTCAAAACCAGGAAATTACCACTGATCCATTGCTAACATCTAATCCGCAGGCCTTATTCAAGTTTTACCAGTTTTTCTCAATAGTGCCTTTCATAGAAATACTGTTTCCTAGTTAGCTCCCAATCCAGCATCATACATGCCTCTAGTTGTCAAGTCTCCTCAGACTCTTTTCATCTGGAGCAATTCCTCAGTCTTTGTTTTCAATAATCTTGACATTTTAAAGGTGTGCAGGCTATTTATTTTGTGTAATATCCTCAGCTGGAGTTTGTTTGATATTTCCTCATGACTAGATTCAAATTACCCATTTTGTGTCAGAAATACCACAGAGGTACAGTTATGTCCTTTTTAGTATATTATGTCAGGAGACACATAAATGTTTGCTGCCTTACAAGTCATGGTAACTTCCATCACTTGGTGAATGTGGTATCTGCCAGATCCTCCCCTGTAAGGAATATCTGTTCTTTAAGAGTTTGATCAAAATTCCTCTAGAAATTTCATGGCATTTTTTTTTCCATGGAGGGGAAGGTAGCTCTTTCAAAACTATATATTTGGTTTATTTAGACTTTCGTCTCTTATAAGATAAGATTTGAAAATTTACCCTTCCCTGGAAAATTGTTTATTTCATATAGGTCTTAAATTGGTCTTTTTTAGGGAGTGGGATACATACCTGTGTGCACAGCTCATTAGAGCATGACCGGGCCCGCGGAACAAGGGCTGAAGAGGCAAGCTGAGGCCAACGGAGGAAAGTCTGTTCACTGTGCAAAGCAGCGAGGACTCTCCCCGGAGAGGTATACGGATCCTGTGAAAGGTTCTGGGCAGGGGAGTGGTCTGAGCAGACAGGGGTGTGTCAACTCTGGGTGTGACTGTGATGGGGCAGTTCCAAACCAATCGGAGGCTGGAGTCAAGCGGGTCTGTGAGGAAAGGTGTGCAGTACTCTAGGTGAGATGCGGAGGAACATTCTAGCGACTGTTCCTCGAGTGGAAGAAAGAGGGGCATAAAGCGCCTCTCCGGCACTTTATGCAAGGCCAATCTGCAAGGACTCGCAGCCCAGTGGGAAGTGTAGGTGTCGGGGACACATCCTACGTTGATCCTGGTCGAGTGCCTGTTACAAGGGAGCCACTTCCCTCGGAGCAAGATGAGCAAGACGGAACTTCACTCTCTAGGAGGCCTCCTGAACCCGCCGCAGAGAGCGGGCCGGAGGCGGGCCCCCCAAGTGGGCGTGGCCTCCTGAAGGCGACCTTGCTTCAGGGTGTTTTCAGTTGTTGTAAAGACTGCATCGATCCTGCCACTCATCCAATTCTCATCACGTCATGACTGTCGTTAGCCATGCTAAAGAGCGTGCTTGCGCGCACACACATACACGCACACAGGCGGAAATAAAAAGAACACGCAGGGATGCAATCAATCAAAGTTTGAATCTTTTTTTAATACTTTCCGTGCACTGTTCTTTGTGGCATCCCTTCTGAGGCAGCAGTCATAATCCAATTATAATTGCTAACATTTACTATTATTTTTTAAGTTTTATTTATTTAAGTACTCTACACCCCATGTGGGGCTCGAACT